GAATACGAAGTGTGTACCGAATAATTTAGCCTTGGATGATGTGGCTTGGACTTTTAATCATTTCATGTACGGAGTATGTTGTAAGTAAATATTTACATGGAATGGTCTATACATATCATCACCATGACCCATCCCGAAATCCGTTGATGTATAACTACATATGTATATACTTGTGCTTAAAACACACAATATACACGGAAACAAGCATTAAATCAACCCCATCAACGGATAAATCCACCTGCATATTCTTGCTTCCTCTTTCCAAGGCATCCAACCAGCTCCTATTTCACCACACCAAGGCCTATCAGACCCTGAAACAAAAGCCAAATGAAGATCTATTGCCACACACGACTCTCACCGCAACCAGATCCCACTAGCCAGCTCACAGACAGGGAATGGAGTACGGAGGGCATATATAGTACTCCGTATACACAGCCTTATCCCGGTCCGCAACAAGCGAACCCCGTAACCGAGAAACTTACGGGAGGGAATGTCGGGTCTGTCAAGCCCGGACTCTGCAGCCCCGGAAACGTGTGCCATTAGAAGTAAATCTGTATAGTACGGAGTATGTATACGAAGTTAGAAAAAAAGATCGGGAAATATCACCAAAAAGGGTATCGGCGCCCACTTATTTATGCTCCACTCTCCTACCATCTACGCCATACACAACCGAAGCAGGGTTAAGAGGGACTATCATGTGGACATATCACATTTTGGTCGGCTTTTGGCTGGTCTGGAACGCTCTCGCTTTTTTACTTGTATCGTTTTTGGTGTGTGGCGAGATTTGATGATCGGGGTTATTGTGTGAGGTCATGGGTTTTGAGTCTTGACGCCGAATATGTCCGGCACCTTGGTTTGATTTCATTAGAAGATGATGTTGTGAGGGTTGGTGATTTCGTATAGGATTGGAGTGGTCTCACTATGACAAAAGTACCGAGGGTTCAAATGTTGGGATGTGGATTACCTATGAACTGGATTTTATGGCAGTGAAAATGGATGGTTACGACAACACAGTGTAAGAGATATATTGAATGGGTGAGAAAGTACTTGATTTATACACTCCGAAGTTATGCATAGATAGATGGTTGTGATTGAATTGGATCCTCCTGACTGAGAACAGATCGATAGAATTTCGGGTCAAGGTCTCGCCATATGTACGCATTATATCAAACCAAGTTGTCCACAAATAAAACAGAGATATCAAAAATGTATCCATAGAAGCATATCAAAGCAGAACACAAATCCCAAATCACCCATCTAACCACCCTCCAGTCGAAAAGAGATATCACTTATGAATCGATATAAATTGCCCGCCAGATATCAATATGCTCAAGATTGTAAATTCATTGAAGATGGGTATGGTGTAGAAAACGGAGTGAAGGTCGGCAGCAAGCGGGAAGAATCCGAAGATTGCTGCGCCATATGTACAAGATGCATCGCTTGAGAAAGGCCACTGAGAGCCGGAGAGTCAAAAGCATGTCCCCACGGACAGCATCATGCATGCTCTATAATGGACACTCTAAAGGTAATTCTTTCGGTATTGGGACGTCGCCTTCGTGGCGTGTCTGTCTCAGCTGGTGGTGGAATAGTTGCCACACACCCTTCAGCGCTTCTATGCGGTCATTGGCATCGAATAGGTCGAACCATCGAGTCCTCTGCAGCTTTAGCACATGCCACGGCTCGCCTTCGGTTGGTGGGAAGGTGCTGTCCCCGTGGGTGAGGATGTCCAAATACCGCCTGTGAACGCGGAGGTGGAGGATTGAGACGTGATGGTTGATAGATGAGATCATGTAAATCTGCAAAAAAAAAAAAGAATGAAGGGTTAGCTTTGTCTGGCCGTCAAAAGCACACTCAATTTCAATGAACGAGGCCGGGTATGCATACATCGTCAAACGGACTCTCCTGGACCTTGCCTATCTGCAAATAACTCATCCGCTTGTCCCAAAGACTAGGTCCAGGCTGCAGTATCTTCCACTTCTCACTGGTAGTAAGTCTGCGCATAGCACTCGGTCTCCGGGAGAGAGACGTGACAAATGGATGCTCGAACTTGTGACGTTTGGAAGCGCTCTCTGCCTCCTGGGCAGATGACGTGCTTTCTTCCATCATTGAGTCCGGCAAGGACATCCCGTGTCCGTAATTAACGAGATCATCCAGGATCCCATCGTTGGGGGCGCCTCCGAAGCGAGGCTGCATGGTCCACCATTTGCCCTCGCCGGGTCGCTTCTCGACTGCACCTTCGCGGGCACGCTCTTGCGCCGCGAGAAGCATGCCGCCTACTTCGCGGAATAAATCACTTACATCGCCAATCCCGGTCCCGGGGGTATTGTCTGCAGTGCGGAAAGATGTCTCGGGTCGACACTGTGAGATGAGAACGGGGCCTTCGAGCATGCCGCTCCGCGCGATCTGGCGGTCTCGCGGGGACCGCGAGGACTGGAATGTTTGCCGGACGGGGAACAGGAGGTTCTTGGTAGTCAACCGTGGTTGGAGCGTGGGGACTGTGACCTGGCATCCGAATGGCCATGCGGCCATCTCCACAAAGGCTCGGATTGTCTCGTCACGAATTTCATCGGGCATCTCGGCACCGTTGCCAATTCGGCGACCCGTGTATACAGGGACAGAGGGCCGCTGCTTATCGCCAACATTGCCGCTGGTCGAAGGCGCGACCGTCTGTCCTTCATCCAGGTCCATTTCATGGTCTGTCAGAGTATGTCTGCTACTGGACTCCTCAGTATCCATCTGCATTGTGCTATCCCCTGCTTGCTCCATCTCAGATGGGGGTGTCGGATCGGGGGTTGCCGGGCGCTCGTAGTAATGGTCTAGGCTGGTATCCCAGTATTGAGCCATGCGCTCCAATCCCGTCCAGAACTTCCTTGACTGTGTTATACGAACCCTGTCGCGACCCTCACGCGGCGGCAATCGAGCCACCTCGCGGAAAGCGTCGTCATTATCCAACGCTAGCTCTTTTTCCAGGACTTCGTATCGTTCCTTCGAGGGATACGGGGCTCCGTTACCCATCAACGGTGGGTGATTGTCTTCCGTCGGTTCGGTGGTATCTTCCCATGGCAAGGGGGCGAGGGGATGCGAATGGTCTTCGGGGATCATATGGGCGACCTCGACGCCGGTTTCCAATTGTAGGTTCAACGGCTCGAAGCGCTCCACGCAGATGTCCTGTGGGCGTTTGATGTCGGCCAAAAGGTCGGGCATCTCCTTGAGTCTTGATTCCGACTCATTTTCGAGTACATTGGATAGGTTATAGACGGGGAAATCGAGAGGTGTCGGGTCTGCGGGGGGTCTGCGTTCCTTCTCCGGCTCTGAAGTGGCGGAGGGCAAGGCTATCGCGAAGTTGTGTTAGCTTGAGACTGTGTGGTTCATCTCTCGTTCAAGTCTGGCTGACATATCTAAGGTCGCATAGAACTTTAAGCCACAGTCAGGGCTCCAATCCAACAAGGCTGTCCAGGTGAACTTGTGTTGACATTTCGACTTGCCACAGGGGTATGGCGGGGGAGGGGAAACATCGAGGGGTAGCAAAAGGGAGATTGCTTACCTAGCCCAGAACCCCAGCCAAACATTCTTCAATCACAGCTCTAATGCAAATGCAAATGCACGATTATCGCAAAGTTCTAGTCCCCAAGGTCACATGGGAACACAACAGGGAACAGGAAGGCGGAAAGGCAGAAAGGCAGAAAGGCACCAAAGGCACCAAAGGCACAAGCACCGAGATAAGTTGGCAGGTAAATAAACAGAGAAGTTGAAGTCGAAGAAAAAAACAACTTCCCTATGAAGTGATGGAGAAGAGAGATGGAAGAAGATGAAAGGAACTGGGGAACTTTTGGTGGGGAATTTGTCGGGAACATTTGTCCTTCAGCGCTCTCCGACTTAACAAAAGAATTTGATGCATAAATTCTACCATTTATATGTCTTATGACCTTTGACCTTTCCTTGTGACTTGAAATATTCATGACTGAGTTCGTCAGGGCTTTCATCGGGTCAACAGAGGAGGGGGGAATGTTCTTGTAAAAGTGATATCACACTCTCTCTCCTACATACTTGCTCCGTACTTTGTTCTAGTACTGTAGTCTCTGCCCTTTTGCTTCTCCCTTTCCTCTCGTATATCATTTATGGATATTATATACATGTGGACTGCTCCTACTTATCTGGATATAGTCACATGACTCTACCAAAGAGGCATTGCTACGATTCCTCTATGCCGACGACATACTCTCAACTGCAAAACCTGCAAAAGCCTGCAAGATACCAACAGCCGAGCTAGGCAAAACATGAAACTTCAAGAAGTCACCAGGATGGACCAGTCCAAATTTCAATAAAACTCTCGCCAAATCCGAAACTGCCGTGTTTCGTCTATGATACATGATACACATCCCCGCTCAAATCCTACCTAGGGAACAATAATGACGAGATCGTGCGCATATGGAAAATTTAGCCAGTGTCACATTATGGATATTCTATTCCCATATTTTCTGGAGATGATCGTCCACCCGTGGATTGCCTGATGGTCTTATTGGACCGAGGGCTAAGCGCCGTTCATCTGTCACAGGAGTTGCTTCTACCCATCACAAGAAGCGCCGAGCTCTAGACAAATGAAAAGCAAAATCCCCTCACAAATTCTGCGGGGGAAAACAAAGGTCTCTGTATACACCCTTTTAATCTCTCTGTATCTGACATGATACACTTTTTGGACCACGAAGGTGAATCGTGAACTGTATGGAATCCCAGCCTTGCGACGGGATTATGTTCGTGACTATCTCAAGGCTTCAAGGAACAAAACAAGAAATAGGGGTGGCTTGGATGAACCATCAGAGTCAACTTAATAAGCCTACTGCTTTGTTGGTTGCTTTGTCACTTTGTGCTTTGTCCAATACGCATACAAAGGGATCCATCCTTTCACGTCGCCCCTATGTCCCATTCATCGAATACGGACTCGGCAAATATCATCAGATCTGCCTTTTAACGGTCGGTGCCCCCTGCGGGCTCTCGGCGAGATGTCGAGTGCTTCTTCCGCTATTGATACTCCGTCTGTACCGCTCAACAACTTCACACAGACGTTGTCCCCACGATTATCCTCTGGACCTTTAAATCTGGTGACAGTCACGTCAATTGAAACGCAAACTGTCCATCCTACATGGGTCTACACGATATCTGAATCCGGGACTGATTCCAGCACCGCGGCCAGTGTGCTTGACTTCCTATCGTTAACATTGGACCTAACCCCGGTGACCGTGACTCTGGCAACGACTACGCAGTGGACAATTAAGCAGGACACCACCATCACAGCACCTGATATCTCGGAGCCCCCAATTTCGACTCTTATTCCAACAACCTCGGTTCTACCAAGCCAGATGGGGGTTTCGGCGACTTCTGAATCCTCCGACCATCACTCATGGCATTCCGATGCTCCTGGCAGCGTGTGGATTCCACCGGTTCCATTAACTAGCCCGAGTATATCTCTTTCATCATCACTGCCTATCTTGCCAGAGACAGCGACTAGCTCCGTAAGCTCGACAAGTTCCATCAGTACCTTGGCCAGCTTGAGCACCGCACCATCAAACTCACATTCAATCCCACCATCCATCGGAACTGCCACGGTCGCAGACTCGTCAGAAACATCCCAAGCCGACAATTTGAGTTCCGCATCCTCTAAAATCGGAACCATAGTTGGGAGCATCATCGGAGGATCAGCAATCATGATATTCGCCCTGCTAGCCTGCGCACTCTATATGCGTCACCGACGACGAAGAATAACAACAGAGCGGCTAGGACTCAGACAGAAACTAATACGAGGCGACTCAACGAGCTCATCAATCAGCCACCACTTCCACCGCTACCACTCCTACCCCTCGATCCCAGGAAACATCGGCCCGCGATCACCCATACTCCCAGTCATTCCGCTACAACAACAGCCCTCCAATCCAGACCTATCTCTGGACAGCATGTACCTGCGTGGCGAGACAGCGCAGGAGGCCTTCACAAACCCGCCGTCTGCAATCATCGAAATCTCAGCCCCATCTCGATCGGTCTCGCTCTACTCCACTTCTTCCCGCGACGCCGGGCTTCGTGAGCAAGGGCACTGGGACTGCGAGCGTGCGGGCACGGATTCCCTCGCTGTACCGCATGGATATTTGGATGCGTCTATGATGCGTGATAGCATGCGCAGTGACCCCTTCGATCTTGATCTTGAGCCTCCGCCCAATGCTCACCACCGGTCTTCGGTTCCTTCGATCCCGACTATGTGGGCTGTCAAGTTGTAGTTCGGGCTGGATTTGGTTTTGCTTCATGATTTTCTTTCGGTTTGGGTTTGGCTTCCTGCATATATTATACGTTTACACTGATACACTTGCCTTTTTTGGCTTTGCTTTGGTTTACGACGGCAAGATCTTACGAATGCTATGTCTGTAGGTTTTCTTTTCTTCTATTGTTTGTATTTATTTGCTTACTGGCATTCCCTTCGGGCCCATTCATATTTCATCTCGATTTCGGTGTTGAACTTGTAGGTCTGGGTAGTTCATTGGGTTATATTGGTATGGAAAGGGCAGGAGAACTCAAAATGTTATTTCTCTTTCCAAGGCATAGTATTTCATATCTCTACCATGCTTTCATTTCCTGATTTTCTTCTAGCGGTTGGTGAAATTAGTCGCGTTCTACATTCTCGGGGTTTGGATGAAACCATGCTCGAGGTAAAATAGTTGTCTAATTGTCATTGGGATACTTCAAAATTAGTTGAACGCGATGGCTACCCTATGGTTCATATATTATCCTGTACTTTCATTGCGCCCCGATGTTTGGCTGCTAATCATAGATTTTTATACTCGGACGATTATGGGAATGTGGGGTACAGATATATATGAACATATTCAGCGGCAATGATACTTCGACTGGTTAGATTTTGATTTATTTATTCTTCACACAAAACGTATGTCAATGTTGTAGGCTAGCTATCAAGTATAGATAGAGGTGATCAAATCCCTAGAAGGGAGGTACAGGATCCATAAATTACATTGGAGGTCTTTGACCCACGAGGTTGCAGTTGCTAAGGATCGTGGAATTATCGAGATAAAGTCTGCATGAAGCATGGAAAATAGACATGCCACTCATAGGTCAGCTACAGGGGCTGATCACGAGCAGCAAGATTGAGAGTATAGGGAGTATACGAGTAAGACCATCGAGGGAATGGTATCTACTGGCTTATAGAGGGACACAATCTGCTTCTCCGCATATCAGGTTTATACCACAAGCGGTAGTATAGACCAGGAAAGAGCATGCGGTTTTTGTTTCGGGTTTTTGGTGAAGTAGAAAAAGATTTCCTTTTGCTTTCTCGTTACGTCTTAACAAGAATAGCTTGAGTATCACATCATCATCGCATCTTCCTATTTCCCATACCCCATATTTTCCGAAAAGATCCAATAAGGTCACGAACCCCATGCTATCAGGGAAAACAAAGGGAAGGAGAGAAAGTCGTAACAGAATCTAGACTAATAGGAAGATGCCGAAGGCCGACCTGAGTTTGATATCGGGAACAACCTAGAATCCCGAATCCAACCCAGAAGTTAACCGTTTCCAACCTCCGGACCGCCGAATTGCGAGAAAAGCGTCAAACAACGGAAGGGCAATTGAATTTTTGTATCAGATTTACTCCTCGTTGATCAGAGCATCGCGCTTGGCATCCTTGCGCTCCAACCGGCGCTCACGGAGAGCCTTGTTCTTGGCACGCTTAGCATCCATCTCCTCCTTGAGGACACGGTCGCGTGCACGCTCAGCCTTAGCCTTCTGGATCTGTAGCGGTGAAAAAGAGAACGAGTCAGCCTGGATCCGTTCCTTTGCGTAATTCAAGGGGTTCATGTTCATATTCGATCGTCATCCGTGGGGTTGATTCGGGTTGTAACTTACGTGCTCGACGAGGGCACGCTTGTGCTTGAAGGTGTTACCCTTGCTCAGGTGGTAAAGCTCGTGGTAGAGGTGCTTGTCGATCTTGCCGGCGGCGCGGTAGCGGACGAGCAGACGACGGAGAACACGCATGCGGCGCATCCAGAGGACTTGGCTAAACAGAGAAAATCGACATCAGCAACTGTGTCCTGGTTCTAGCCGTCGGGCGAGTCCGATGTAGGAGACAAAGACGGTGGTGGTAGTGGTGGTGTGCATACCTGGGCATACGGGCATCCTTGGTACCCTTGCGCTTACCCAGACCGCGGTGACGGCCATTTCGGCGGGCCTCGTTGAGTTCACGGGCGCTGGCACGGGAGTGCATGGTGACGGGCTTGCGGATGATCAGGCCATCGCTGACGAGCTTGCGGATGGTCTGGCGAGAGTTGGCGTTGGAGATCTCGTTCATCTCATTGGGGTCGAGCCAAATCTTGCGCTTGCCGCAGCCGACCACGGAGGCGGCGAGGCGCTTCTGGGTGGTAAGGTTGACCCTGTGGTGGTGAAAGACCCGGTCAGCATCATAGCACACACATCACGAAGTTGTTCCTCCACTATAACGAAAATTTCGGGTGCACGAGTTGGGTGTTGGGACATGAATCTCCACAGCACACGGGAGTGCATTCGAGAAGTTCAAGAACAGCTTGGAGATGGAACTCACATCTTGATGTCGGCGTATCGACGGTCGTTGGCGGATGATGTTCGTGGCACTGAGAAATCCCGACGGTGAGAGTTTGAGAGGGCACTGCGGGCCAGATTAGGTCAGCCGAGGGCTAAGCGAGTGCTCCTTCCACAATGGGCGGAGTGCTCCAGGGTGCATACCCTAACGCTAGTCCGAATTGGGATGATGGAGCTTGAAGATCTTGCAGTCCGGGGAAGCTAAGCTTACTTACATTGGGAAAAGTTCGAATGAAGATGCTGGGATAATAACAAGATTACAATTTGGGGTTCTCTTCTTTTTTTCTCTTTCGCTCTTTGCCGTGGCTTTCGTTGTAGACGGCCAAAAAACGAACAATATCACGTGATACTGAAGACAAGTAGTATCACCTGATTTGATATTCCTATCTAGGAAAGAGTGATCTGCAATATAATAAAGTCCACCACTCTGTACGGCGTACATGGCTGCCCGGTGATGTATAATGACACAATATAAATATACAAAAACTTACTATGCATAACTTTTGTACGACTCGAACAAAGAAAACCCAAGGGTATATCTATAAACATCTAGATGCTCCTTGGATACGCAAACAGATCATCACTCATCGCCAAAGGCCTCTCCAAGGTCAACCTTGCCAATGCTCCACAATTCCTTTTCGTCGTCTAGTTCATCATTCGACAGTCCCAAGCCACCCTCACCACCTTCAGCCTCCCGACGCTCACGCGCCTGGTTGGCCAAACGAACGGCAATGCGCTTGAAGTAATCAGACATGCTGCGCTTGGGGCCTGGTGGGAGAGATGCACCTGGACCGGCCATATACTTGTCAAACACCTCACTATCAGATTCAACCACAGAGAATATGGCCAAGAATGCAGCTTCGGCGGCCAGTTTGACGGGGATTACCAGATCACGGACACTAGCGAAGATGGGCGGTGCGAGCAAAGCCAGATGAGGACGGGCCAGCTCGGGGTGAAGACGGCTGACAGTCCGGATGACTACCAAGCTCAACCGCCGGGTATCGACCGGGTTGCCAACTTGAATGGCAGATGCTAAGGCCTCGAAGATGGCCTTGCTTGACTCGAAAGCATGGTTGCCATCGTTGGACAAGAGGTATTTGCCTGCGGCAAGAGCGCTGTTGTCGGAGATGAAGGGCTGTTTCTGAATTAGCTTCAAGCAATACTGGGTGGTATAGCATTCCACTTACATCCTTGTTTGCAAGACCTTGGCAGATGACGGTGGGAAGCTCGACAGAGAAGTGTTCCGACAGAACCCCAGGGCATTCAGCCAACAGAGCATTGAGTCCTAGGATCGCTGCATGAGAAAGGGAGCCAGTAAGAATACGGTTCCTAGGGGGAAGGAAATATATTAGCATCCAACAAAATCAAACCATGAAAACGAATATGCATACTTGATGAGAGGAACCGAGCTTGCGGCAGGGAGGACCTTCACGAGAGCACCGAGCAGGCGAGCGTTGGTAATGGAAACGGAATCTGTGAGCAGGTTAGAAAGCTGTGAAACAGGTGAATTGTTAGTAATGATCATACCGGTCTGGTCGCTAGCGTCATCATCAATCAGACCAAGGATCGCTTGCCGAGATGCCTCGCTCATGTTTGCACCGGCCTTACCAACCACCTCCTGGAGAGCCTTCATCATGGCGTTCTTCACACCAATGTCAGTGGTCTTCGATCCAGCAATAAGTTCTAGAGATAAAAGTTAGCGATGAACTACATCCCATGTATAAAAAATTCCTGAGACTTACCAGCAATAAGAGGATCAATTCTGGGGGTGAGCGTAATCAAGATACCAAGACCCTTGGCAGCCCGGTTGCGCAGAGTCTCGCTTGATGTGTCGGCCAGACCACGAGCGAATGTACGCTGGAGCTGAGGTAAGAACGGTTTGACAGCCAACGGGATCTTCTCCAAAAGCTTGTTAAGAGTATAGAAGATGGCGCCTGGCAGAATCAATCAGTAAACAGACACCACATAAAGGCTTTGCATGACTTACACTTGATATCGACCGAACGTTCTGACACAACACGAATGAGCGGACCGGTGATCTGAGTCACGAAAGGCTTCAATGACTCGGCACGAGTCCGGTCAATAATATCCGACATTGCAAGAGCCGATTGGGTACGCTGATCGGTAGTACCGTTGAGAAGACCTTGCAAGAAAATCGGCAAGATAGCCATGATGCCCTTGGGCAGACTGAAGCCGGGCAAGTCCGCGCCAGCCACACCCACCTGTCGCAGAATCTGGCGGGTGGGAATAGCCAAGCTCTCCATCTCTTCCTTGCGCATGTGAGACATGAGACCGGTGAGGGCAGTCCATGCAGACTTGACGACATCCTTGTCTGGGTCGTCAAACGAAATCAACAAGGCGCGGATCAAGTCCTGGTAGTACCTCGAGAAATCAAGCTCGGCTTCCGTGAAGAACTTGGTCAGATGGAGCGCCGCAGCAGCACGTCGACGGTGATCGTCGTGTTTGACAAGAGTGACCATTACATTCATGGCGGCACTCAGGCCATCATACTCGTCTACAGACACTAGGACGGTGTCAAAGGCGGCGCTGAGTTCTGTTCGAAGCTCCTCGTCGGTAGTGTCGATGATACCGTCCATAAGGGAGTTGAGGATTGCTGGCAGTCTCCTTGTCATGGCAGAGCCAGCAACTTCGGCTAGAGATGCTAAGGCCCTGGCGTTGAAAGCAGTAATTGGCGGCGTGAGCAATGTGGGGATGAGGTTGGGAAGAATAATATTGGCGCGAGTCTGCTCCGTGAGAAGCGTCAACAGTGCCGACAACGCCTGCTCAGCCTCCTCGTCGTTTCTTAACAAATGAAGAAGGTAAGGCAGGACCTGGTCCACGACCCGTTTGCCCATGACCTGCTGCAGTGAATCGAAGGCCTCAGCAGCAGCTTCTCGCACATCATCGTCGTTGTCGACCAGAGCTACGCGCACGGTGGCGATGAGAATATCCTCAAAGTCCTCCAGCGCATCGGGGGAAGCGGCATTGATAAGCTCGCGGAGAGCGATACAGATACCTTGTTTGACCTCCACATCAGGCGAAGACTGAAGACCATCTTGAAGCAAGGGCAGCAAAGTGTTGAGAACAGACTCTCCAGCCTTCTTGATAAGGTCTCCAAGGGCGTTGCTGGCAATGACTTTTTGCTCCATGTTGCTGGACCCGAGGCGGCGAATGATGAGCTGAGACAGGGTAGGAACCATGTCCTTGAGCGTTCTCGGGGAGGCGACGAGTGCTTTCCAGACACCCAGGGCCGCACTCTTGACCTGGCCTGAGGTATCACAGCGACAGATGTACAGGGCCGAGAGAACCTTGTCTCTGCGCTCGGCTCCGAGAACCTCTAACAAGGATTGGCCAGCTTGAGTGGCTTCCTCCTCTTCTTCATCACCCTCGATCTTGCCAGAGATACCGGTAAGACTGAAGAGCAGATCGCCGACGAGCTCGACGGAACTCAAACGGATGCGGTAGCTGTCGTCCGCAAGACCACGCTCCAGCTCGGGAAGCAAGAGATCGATGGCCTTGTGAGCGAAGTTCTTGACAAGCAGACGACCGGCCCGGAGAGCGGTCTCGCGGATAGCCTCAATATCGTCAGCCAGACCAGCAAGAATAGGGGGGATGATCTTGCTGAGGTAGTTGGCGAAGCTGTTACCGAAGCAAGCAGGCAAGAAGATGAAGAGAGTCATGAAGCCTTCACGGACAGCAGGCTTGGCACTGGAAACGTTTTGGAGAATAGTTGGCAATGTCTCCTCGAGCCTGGTCGTACCGAGGCCTGCAAGGACCTCCGAAAGAGCTTGAGCAGACCCGAGTCTGTCACCAGCACCAGTATCGGATTTGAGAGTAGCCATAAGGTTAGGAATGAGATCTGGCAGAGCGTCTTCTCCGAGTTTCTCGATGAGTGAACCAAGGGCCTTGGAAGCAGTAGCACGGGTTGTGGGAACTGGATCGACAATGGCCAAGTTGAGACCAGCCACAATGATAGGCAAGTGTGAGATAAGATCCTTGCGCTCTGTGAGATGGGCCAAGCTACCAATAATCTGTGCTGACTTTCGCTTAGTGTTAGATCGGTCACTAAGACCACGCTCGAGAATGCGCACAACAAGGGCCAGGGAGGGTGCATCGAGATAGTGCGCAAAAGAAACCTTGATCAAGGAATCTAGCGCCTCATCTGTGTGCTTCGTTGGATCGCTCAAAGCCTTCAGAAGCACGCCAACCAAGCTCTTTACTTCGGGGTTGCTGATAACCTCGCCGAAGCGCTGAAGACTGCGATTCGCTGCGCTACGGACTTCCTTGTGGGTGTCATTGAGCACAATTGTCAAAGGGGGAATGATATCAGGTAAACTAGCTGCAAGTTGTTGTGGGTCCAGGTAGGCCATGGCTCCAAGTAGATCGCAAGCACCCTTCTGACTACGCCATTGCGTATCATCCAAGCCGTCGAGCAGGGTAGGAAGAATCTCCTTAACACCGTAAGAGCTGAGATTCTGGAAGCAAGCCCTTGAAGCCTCCAAACAAGTATCGCGGACGCTAATGCTGGTATCACCAAATCCTCCCAGAAGCTGGGGTACGAGATGGATCACATAAGGCTCAAATGTCCGCCCTAGAACTAGGGCGAAAAGCTCATAAGCTAACAAGGCGCCTCGTCGGTGATCCTTTTCTCTTTTGTTCTCGGCGGCTTCCTTGAGCTGGGTCATGATTCGGTACTCCCGCAAGGTTGCGATACCCCTGCCACACACGACTGCAGCAAGACCGTAAGCAGCACCGCGTTGGCGAGGATAGTCAGGGGCATTGAAGAGCCGGTAGATTAGGTTTTCCACATACTCTGCCGTCTTGGAATCAGACGATCTGATCAAAGGGGGCAGACACTCAGACACGGCGTGCTGCACAGACTCCGAAGGGGTATCGAGGGCCACAAGCAGTTCACTGATAACTGTCTGCAAGCGAGGATCATCCGCCTTGAGATGTGTGGCCACAGATCCATATAAGACGATGACAGCCTCGTTCAGCAGGTCAGAGGTCTTCGTGTCTTTATCCGAGGTTTCCAGGGTTGTTTGGAGCAAATTCATCATCTCCTCAACCTTTGACTCTCCTCGCAAAATGATAATAGATTTACCACTCTCTGTCATCTGGCCACGGACCCGGGAGTTTCCATCTAGCAAGGGACCCTTCTCAATCAGGAATCGCAAAAATGAGACACTCTCGTCACCATCGAATCCATTGGTCATAGCATTGAAAGCCAGCGCAATACCACTGCGAGCCTCCCAGTGGTCTGCATTGTCTACTTTCTTGGGCATTCCATAAGCGTCCTTTTCGGGTGCTTTAGGTTTTATTTCTTCCACGTATTTGGATTGCAGTTCGGAAAGAATGCCCGCAAATTTGCTCTTATCAAACTCAATGGCATGTGCCAAAGCGCGAGCGGCAGCGCCTCTAAGCTGATAGTCCTTGGAGTCC